CTTGTTAAACTCTGGGGAGTCAATTTAAAATGAGTTTCAGAGATAGATCTGTTTAAATTTATGAAAGTCTATATAAGAATCTCTTCATAGTGATTATTACATGAGAGAAAAACTAAGAAAGTTAGTGACAATTTGGGCACTGTTACTTTTCATCTTAAAACTTTGGCTTTATTTGAAGTTTTCATGTTGAACACTACATAAATATATGTGCATGTGTATAGAGTTATGACCTAACAAATGTTATGATTGCTAATTTCTTGGTGTGTGGTACTATGAATGTTTGCCTGTATTTTCTGTAAAGCTTGATATTTAGGAGTAGAAATTGTGGAATTAGAATTCTTTTTCTCCTTTCTTAGTTCCATGATCTTGGACTCACTGTAAACATTTCTGATAGTTGCTCATTTCTAAAATGACTAGTGATAATTTCTGTCTAATAGAAAGAAGATGCAAATCAAGTGAGGTGATGCTGAGGAGGTATGAAGCACTGTTTGTTACTGATGCNACTGTAAACATTTCTGATAGTTGCTCATTTCTAAAATGACTAGTGATAATTTCTGTCTAATAGAAAGAAGATGCAAATCAAGTGAGGTGATGCTGAGGAGGTATGAAGCACTGTTTGTTACTGATGCATAATTAATCTTACATAAGAGTGAACATTATTATTTCTGTAATGGTCACATATTAACCTTATGAGATGAATAAACATTAAAAACACTTTATTTTGAAATAATAAAAAATTGTCACCATCCATTAATATTAACACTTACTCAGAATCATATACCACCCATTGGCTCACCCACCCTGCAGGAAATAATTCTTTTTTTTTTTTTTGAAGAACAACACTTTATTTGAGATGCTCCCATTTGGTCTTGGATTTTAGTTATTTTTGCATATTATTTTACTTTCCCCCTTCTCCTCCCCCATCCAGTTCTTGGAAAGCTACCAGAGGATATGGTGAAGGACAAATTATTGATTTCTTTTGACCCATGAATAGACTGACTCCAGAGAGCTGTATTTATGCACTCAGGATTGTCTGACCACCATATGCCAGAATCTAGACTAAAATGCAGGTTTTCTGAAGCTAAATTGAGCCAACTATGAATATTTCAGGAAGTCTGTATATACAACAAGTCCCCCTTGTTCTGATATCTTATAATGGCCTTTATAACTCTTGTTTGGCTCTTACTTTGCATTTCAAATACTTTGGTAGAGGTGTGATAGAATTTCACTACTTTTATCTACAGTGGCTAGTTAACTGATTTTCTGGGTAAATCTCTGGTATTTATGTTCAGGTTATAAATAGAGAAAGAATAGTCAGCAGAGCAGACAAGAGAAATAAAGAAAGGGATAACATTGCTTTACAGATTGGCAATTGGTCATTCACTCATTATAAGAGCCACAAGATTTTTTTTAAAAATTGAGGAAAAGAGCCCTTAGACATTATTTAATCTAAACTTTTAGTTTTACTTTTGATCAATTGATACTCAAAAAGTTAAATGATATGAAAAATTCACATAATAATTTTTAAAAATTGGACAAGAATGAATCTGTCAGGCTAGAATATAGGCCTATAGGTTTTGGTGATTTTTTTTTTAGTAAGCATAGATCATAGAAGATACAGTTACCAATAGGGAACCGATTATGAAAATATAAGCCTGATCAATGTTTTAAGCTATTATCCCTGCTTACTTGTTTCAGGTTGAAAATACAAAATCTGAATAACTGGAATACCTTTAAAATATGTTATTGAGACTCAGCATGAAATGCCTGTCCTTATAAAAGGATAACATGGTGGGATGGAAAAACCACTGATCAGCTGAGTTCCACTTTGACTCTGTACTTTCAAACTCTCAGTTCTGCCAGTCAGCTAAAATTTTCTTAGTCTCATTTCCTTTTCTTTAATATGCAGCTGATAATGAAAATGACTTTGAGAAGCATGTGATACAATTTATCATTTAAAAATAGTAAACAGGTAGAGTCATATCAGTTCATACTTTTTTGTATCCAGGAGATAACATAAAATATTAGGAAGTGGATAACATTTCATACAAGGCACCAGGAAGTCTTACAGAATAGATGACTTTTGAATTGAGGTCTGAATCAGGAAAATATTTGAGGTTGACTGTTGCGCAACTAGAGTTAGAAGACACTTTATCTGGCTGTAGTGCCTACTAGAGTAAACTACTTAGATAATGCTATGAATCAGATATATTCCTTGTATTTTCTTAAACATCTACATGTCAATTCTTTCTCTAAATGTTAGTTTAAAAATTATTTGTGGATAAGCAGTGAAAAGTGGTAAGCTGTTGCAATATCAAAATATCTATACTATCTGAATTGTGTGGGACCATAACTTAATTGTGAATATATTAAATATTAAAATCCTTCCATACTCAAAAAACCCACAGAGTTAAACTTAATAGGTGTCATTGAAATGAAGAAAGAATATTCACCCTTTCTTTAAAAATTCTAGGGTCTTAGTATTATTCCTTTTAGAAACAAATTTACTAATACTAAGTAGGAGACAATTTTTTTTTTTTTAGAAGACAATCTTTATGACTCACCAATATATATACCCCTTGCTCAAAATTTCCAGTGATCTTCTATAGGCCTTAAAATGAAGTTGAGCTTACTTTCAATGACATAAGCACCTAACCAAAATGAATCAAACATTATCACCAATTATGTAGGTTCCCCTAAAGTACTTTCCAATACATATTATCTGAGAAAAAAATCCTGTAAATAACATCTTTGATCTTTTGGAAATATAATTAATTTCTCCCAATTACAAATATAAGTATGTCTTATTTTTCACATGTATGTTTTTAAATTTTGTTTAAATTCATGTTTTTAATTTTTTTATTTTCTATTTTTAATGAAAGATCATTGATTTACAATGTTGTGCCAATTTCTACTATACAGCAGTGATTTGGTTATATGCATATATGCATCCCTGTTTATATTGTTTCCCACTGTGGTTTATCACAGAATGTTGAGCATAGTTCCCTGTGCTATATTTTAGGACATTCTTGCTTGTCTATTCTGGGGGAAGACCCAGAGGGAGGGGGTGGGGAGGGAGGTGGGANAGCATCTGCCTACAATACGGGAGACCTTAGTTCAATCCTTGGGTAAGGAAGATCCTCTGGAGAAGGAAATGGCAACCCACGCCAGTACTCTTGCCTGGAAAATCCCATGGATGGAGGAGCGTGGTAGGCTGTAGTTCATGGGGTCGCAAAGAGTTGGACATGACTGAGAGACTTCACTTCACTTCTGTTTACCCAAAGTTCAAAAGGTAATAAATAAAAACTATTAAGAAAATGGATTGAGCTTCATATTAAAAAGAATTTGCTCTCAAGCCATAAAAAGTAGAATTCTTCTTGAGGAGCATTAAATGAATAGATGTGTAGTAGAATGGTTTACAGAAGATTTCAGCCCTAGGAGAATGGTTGGCTTATGTGACTCTAAAGGATCATCCTGCTATTAATGCTGTTAAGGCACGAATAATCAGTGAAAGGCAGAGTGTTTGCTTAAATTCTCCAGAAAAAGAAGCTATCTATGAACATTACAGTATATACTCCTAAGCCCCAGATCAGTACTATTGAACTAGGCTTTATGGGAGAAATATCTGATAATATGTGTGCTTAAATGTATGCCCAAGTAACTCTAATACTTAAAAGGAGACCAGGAAACTTTAAAGTAAATGGAACCAAAACAAAAATTATCCAGTTCTATCAATGATGCAGACCAAAGGAGACAGCACTACTTGGGAAAGGCTTTGTGTAATAGAAATACCTACTGGTGCATCTGGGGGGGGGCTTCCCTCTTAGCTCAGTTGGTAAAGAATCCACCTGCAATGAAGGAGACCAGGTTCGATCCCTGGGTCAGGAAGATCCCCTGGAGAAGGAGATGGCAACCCACTCCAGGATTCTTGTCTGCAGACCCCATGGACAGAGAAGCCTGGCAGGATACAGTTCAGGGGGTTGCAGAGTCAGATATGACTTAGTGACTAAACCACCACCATGGCAGCATTTGGAGAAATTTGCAGAAGTTGGAAAATGTGGAAAAGAGAAAATGCATTCAGGAGTCTTGGGCTCAGGAATGACTATGGCAGATCTAGGGGTCAGTGAGAGACAACATTGCATTTTTAAAGCATTGAAAGTGTGATGACAACAAACAGACATATCTTCTTTCACTAGCAGTTTAAATTTTCAAAGGGAAGCACAACTAACGAGGTATGGACATAAAGTTCTAATGACACCTTTAGAGACCACTATCCAGACCTTCTAAAGGAAAGCTGGGGTTACCAGACTGACTCAAGCTTGATAACGTAGAAGCGTTAAGTAACGCAGAATCAGAGATGTGTGGTTTTAAGAGGAAAGTAAATATTTTTTACCCTGGAGGATGGCATGGCAACTCACTCCAGTATTCTTGCCTGGAGAATCCCATGGACAGAAGAGTCTGGTGGGCTACAGTCCATAGGGTTGCAAAGAGACCGGAAATGACTGTAGTGACTTAGCACGAGCACAAAATATTTTTCAAAACAAATATATATTATTTTCAAATGGCTGCAGACCTGGTATATATTAAGGAAACCATCTACAGTTTTTGCTTAGCTGGAATAGATAAATTTACCTGACTGGCTATACAACATGAGAGGAATAGGAAAAGAGACTAGAAGTAGAAAGGGATAAGGGACTAGTATTAATGGCTTTAATTATATCCAATAAACAATTATTTATTGAAAGATTACTCTGTGCCAAGCACTGCACAGTATGTCAGCAGAGGAAGTAGTTTTGTTATATTGTAGTATTAATATGCTCCTTAATTTGAAAGTGGAACAACAATAAATGTTTTTAGGTGGTAATTACCATAATTGTGGGGTGTGAGTGTGGGCACGTAAAGTGTTCCTGTAATTTAATCATGCTGTTCTGGAACACCTCATAAATGTATTTCTTGAATCAGAATTCGATGATTATGACTCATAGATTGCATCTGCACAGGAAAATTGAAGTCTAAAATAGAACAACCACTCAAAAATTCATAAGGTCATTGATATTTTCAGAGAATGTATTATATTCCTATATTATTCAGATCTTCTGATGTTTTTATTGTTCAATCTCATATGATTGTTTTTCTTTCTATTGCTTCAAAAAGTCAGCATAGATCTGAATTACATAAAATGATAAACTGGAGTCGGTATCATGGAGATCATTAATGGATATGAGAAGATAACAGAAGACAACAAAGGCAGGTAGGGAGCCAAAGAGAATTTAGCCATTCCAGAAGAAACAGTGTCATGGGTGACATCTGTCTTCCTTTCTGATCCAGTTGAAGTGAATTAATCTAGAATATGATTTATTAGACTCCAAATCATACCTTCTGGAGAGTGGAGTTTTATATACATATACATATATATATATATGTAAACATATTTCATTACTTTTACTAAAGGCTGAATTCAGATGTGTCTTTTATGGAATGTATTAATTCAATAACATTTTATTTTTAATTTGCTATATCATAAGTATCACACAAAAACATGCAGATACAGAAAAGAATTAAGACAGGCTCCCTAGCCTCAAAATTGACTTGAAAACTGATGAACACTCATTGATTCTTTAAACTAATAAATATTAGGTAGTAAATACATTCTGGGAAACACAGATGTTATTGATGCCATGATAGGTAGGTGTGGTGAGCAGAATAATGCCCACATAAAGATGTTTATGTCATAATCAACAAAATCTGTGAATATGTTACCTTATGTAGCAAGAGGGACTTTGATGTATTTCACTAAGGATGTTAAATTGGGCAGATTATTCTGGAGGGATATAGGTGAGATGACTGTAATCATGTAAAAATCTTAAAAGTGAAAAAAAGGCCAGAGTCAGAGATTGGCTGATGCTATGCTACTGACTTTGAAGACAGAAGCAGCCATGAATGAACACAAGTAGCCTCTAAAAGCTGAAAGAGGCAAGGAAACGGAGGGTCCCCTATAACCTCCAAGAGGAGTGCAGCCCTTCTGACACATATATTTTAGCCCTATAGCACTCATTTCAGACTTCTAACCTCTAAAATTATCATAGAATAAATTTGTGTAGATTTAAGTCACCAAATTGGTGAATATTTGTTACAGCAGGAATCGGAAACTAATGAAGCGATAGTAGTAAAGGCAAATATACAAACCCATAAGAAAAGAGAGCTATAAAAAATCACGTAGTTCAATAAATTAAAATACTGAGAGTTCTTAATAAGCAGTTTTGAGTCATAGTAGTTTAGCTTTCAGAGTGAGAATAGGTCATGTTTTATCTGAGCCCTGAAGAATGTCTGAATTCATAGATTAAAAACAACAGAAAAATCATCTTGGGTAAGGGAAAGAACATCTGAAAATTAGCAATGGTGTAAGAGAATACCATAGCATCAAAAGAAGACAAAAAATTTAGTGTAAAATTTACTGTAAGATAAGGAAGGGTATGGTGAGTAAAGAAAGGAAAATCACACTCTTTGACTGCAGGAGGCAAACTCACAGGTAGCTTATGTGAATGTCTGTACATTGCACACCCTACAGAGATGACACCGTGTGTGTGGCCCACCAGTGGGGCACTGAGGATGCTGTATTAAATGGGCTGATGAAAGTTTGTGCCTGGCTAAGAAGGGCAGCGAATGCTATTACAAATGATGTGGATCTATCCTATTCTCGGTAGGGTTCTTCCTATAAGCTAATTTTAGGAAAAGAAGTGTCATTAGGAAATGGCAACCCACTCCTGTACTCTTGCCTGGAAAATAACATGGACGGAGGGACCTTGTAGGTTTCAGTCCATGGGGTCACAAGGAGTCGGACACGACTGAGCAACTTCACTTTCTTTCTAGCTGATCTAAATTTACAAATATAACACAGGAGTATGAAGGATATACTGGAAAGTTCTAAGATTAAAGGTCCAAGTTGTAATTTTATGTAATAATATACATCTAAACCAACATAATTAAATAATCTAGGTGCACATGGGGAGTGCCACAGATAGTTTGGAAGATTCCACTCCATGATTTTTGAGTTTAGTTTCTTTATGATATAAACCTGTTCGGGTCCTAGTTAATGAAACATTAAGACAATAAGTGGGATGGTTTCATATCTCAAAACACTTCTTGTGTGTGATTTATTTTGTTTCAGTTCTCTTTTTTGATTCATATGGGAATAGAACATCATCAAACCAGCAACTGTTTTGCTATGATTTTTATTTGCACTTTGTACTCAGAGTATAGGTTATTTCAAACTGTCAAATACTTCACTGATTCTTTATATTCTTTCTTTTAATTTACAGTTTTCATTTTTGACCTGCATTGGAATAACTGCTAGTTGCCTGCTGGGAGATGACACAATTTATGGATTAAGCGCCAGCTAATGTCTCAGGGATTCAAAGATTTTCTTTTGCCCAGATCAGTTAACTCTTCATCTTTTTTCCTTGATCTTAAAAATAAAAACAGGAGTACTAACCTTTGTACCTTTACAGAAATATTCAACCCTCTGACAAGTATGTAGTGATAGAAAGAAGAATGTTCCAACATAATTGAATTTAATGTCATTTTCAGATTATGGGATCATGAAGATTTTAAAGAAGGAAATTATTCATTTTTAATTGAATAGGCTAAAGAACAAGGAGGAAAACCTTAGCAGTCGATGCGGATTACCATTTGATTTTCACATTCATGTAGTGGCAGTTTTCTTCAATATAAAAAAGAAGTAAAGATGATGCCAAAATATATTAAAATTACCAAGTTTTGCAAGAGCCTGAAAATACTTTTCTATTCTATTTTGTATTCATCTGATCCTTACTACAATACAGTACACAATTTATAACTCTTCAAAAGTAAGAATACTGATATATCAAAACTAATAAGAGAAATTGTGGAAAATAGGCTTAGTCTAAAAAAGAATCACTGATCTAGTATGTCCCAAAGCATTTTTCATAGAGTATTCATAGATGTTTAATGAAAAATGAAGCTCATAGTGAAATAAGACTGAGAAGTACTGAGTATAATAAAGTTAAACAAGCTTCTTCATTCTAAATCTTCACAGAGTCATTAATAGGTTAATTAACATGCATTCAATAATGAGCATGTTTTGTGGCAGTGACTGAATTCATTTGACCANCTGAGAAGTACTGAGTATAATAAAGTTAAACAAGCTTCTTCATTCTAAATCTTCACAGAGTCATTAATAGGTTAATTAACATGCATTCAATAATGAGCATGTTTTGTGGCAGTGACTGAATTCATTTGACCACAGACCTTTGTTTTTTCCCTACCCAGCATTTACAAAACCATTGTTCCATGGAATAATATGCACTGAAAAGTGCTGCCCTAGAGAAGATCAAGCAATATTTCAAAAAACATTTATAACAAATGATGAGGTCAGTTATTAGTGGGTTATTGCTTATGTCTCCAAGGATTCAGAAAAGAGTACATGAAAGCCAATTAAGCAAGAGATATTTAAGTCAGATGAATAGAAAAATGTCTCATAGGAGAGTTGGACTGTTCAAATGTGCGAGCTTGTAGATAAACATGATTTATTTCACTAAGAGCAAGAAAGAATGAAACACAATGTGCAAACGATCTCTACTTTTGTTTATGTAGTGATAATGCAACTATCAATATTTGAAAAGTTGTTGAATCCAATAGATTATAAATATAATAAATTCCCATTGGAATAGGAGAACATTCACAATACAAAATAAATTATCAAATAATACTCTGTTTTCAGGATCTTGAAGGTAAGTATGGTACAACATTCTTAAAGAATGGGTGGGCACGTATGTCCATTCTTTGAGAATGTTGTGTCATACTTACCTACCAATTTCTGAAAAAGATATAGATAGAGGTTTCATTGAAAGTAATAAAATTGAAAAACTCGAGGAGCAAATATGAGATGGCAAAGTAGGTGGAATCAAAATGATGAGGATTGTAATAGAAGGTCAAACTAGATGGAAGGTCCCTTCAGTAGTTTTCTTTCCTTGGGTGATTTAAAGAAACCAAAATGGACAAATTATGATGTCTTTGATTGAGAAGATAAAAAAGGTAAAGCCTTATTTTTTATAGAACTATTTTAGAAGTCAGTGAACATAGTGCTTCAATCTAAAGATGAAGAAGTAAATGGAATTTTTGACAGCTAACAGAGTTCAAGAATTCAGCTGTCCATGGAAACCTAATGGCTGAGTTTTAGAAGATATGGGGAAAAATCTTTCTTCTGTCCATCTTCAAAGCTATTTAATGAAGCCACCATTCCGATTAAATATAATCAAGGATATATTGTCCCTTTGTATTTAGTTTTATTAGTGGGTTTGGCTCAGGTTGTGATTGGTCAATACATTCCCTTCAGAGATAAGGATAGAGTAACTTCTCTTTTTTAAAAATTTTTCCCCCCTTTTTTTGAACTTGATATTTGCTATTTAGGAGAATGTTTAAATGAAGAGATGATAGAATGAGGACTAGGGTAATTTTATGTTTAGAAGAAAGAGAAACTGTTTAACTTAAATCTGCTTATGAGTGTGAACATGTATTACATTTTATTTTTTTACAAGAATTGGGCTGCAAATTCTAAGAAGAAAAAGAGGCAGAAAATATGTGATGTGAACATGATTAATTAATTGAAAAATCTCAATGAAATTATGATTATCACAAAAGGAAAAGAAATGAACATTATTATATTACCAAAAAATAGAGACAAAAACTGATTTTTTAAAAAAAACTTTTTAATGTTTTTCAAAATCATTTAGTATGCTGAGGAAGCTGTTGAAATAGTTGAGGGGATTATATAACTATATACTTTTGTTTAAAGAATGGCAAAAGAAGTAGAGTATCATTGTCGATATGTTTACAGTGAAGAGTCCATTTAAAAGCAAGCATTTACTTACTAAAGACCTAAGTCAAGGGTCAACTACTATATGAAATCTTTTAGTCTCAGTTCTCCTTTGCCTAAAGCATTCCTCACCCTAAAGCAGAATGAACCACTCTCCTCTAGGATTTCTATACTTTTGGCATTGAAAACATTTGACTTTCAATCATGCGTTCAGAAGATATGCATTTGTGTGAGGGCTACCATTTCTCACGTACACTGTTATGCAGAGACAATGCAAAGCTCAGAAAATCATAGATGGCTGTACTCGAAAAGCCCGTATTATTATCTCAACTGCTTTTTATCCCCTGAGAACATTAATTTTCTTTGATTGAAAAATGTAGAAAATAATATCATACCATAGAATTATTATAAAAATTACATAAATGAATATGAATGGCACTTAGTCTAGCCCATAGGAGGAGCTTGGCAATGTTTTCTTTTCATGCAGTCTGGAAACATTCCATGTACCAAAATCCTTGTTATATTATGATGTATCTATTTCCAAACATTTATTCCTTTTCATTTTGTTTGTAGGAACTAACTCCAGGTTAGCTGAAACTCAATACCTATGATTGAAAGAGTAAGGCAGGTAAATAGGAAGTAAGGTAGGCAATGAGGGAAGGAACGATGAAATAAGACCACAGCAGAGGAAAGCAAAAGTACTTCAGCGAGGTAACGTGTTTCCCAGAGAGAATTTGACAAACATCAATGTGCAAAATATGCATGAGTGCATTCTAAGGCGCATCAGTTGTGTCTGACTCTTTGTGACTCTATGAACCGTAGCCCACCAGAATTCTCCAGGCAAGAATACTGGAGTGGATTGCCATGCCCTCCTTTAGAAGATTTTCCCAACCCAGGATTAGACTCCTATCTCTCCTGTTTACTGCATTGGCGGGCAGGTTCTTTACCACTAGCGCCATCCAGGAAATCACTGAAACAGGAGGCACAAATGCCCAACTGCTTCACCATTTTTGTTCTTCCAGGATTACTAAGGTGATGATTTCTGTCTCTGCTCTTTTTTTTTTTTTTTTCCATTTTAAAAGGCCAGGTAAATGCTTTTACTCTTAGATCTTACCTATTTTTCTTCTATTTAGGTTGCCAATTGTCTCTAAAATATTTTTGCTCTTGTTCTTTCAGAGAGCAGTTGATCTTACATAAACCCAGGTCATTTTCATTTTGTCACTGAGAATTTTTGCAACGAGCTTTGAAAAAGAGAACCAAAAACTGACTCAAGGATGAAAATGAAGTCAGAAAGAGTTGCCAAAAAGGACAATTAGGTGCTATTTTTGAATAATACAGTAAGAAAGATCAATTGATTCCTTTTTTTCTTTTTTTAATAAACTTTAAGCTTTTATGAGGGATATCCACAGGGAAGAATCTGTATGATGCTAAGCACTTAACTAGAACCTCTGCATATACACTGTTCATTTCATTTACTTGTTATGACAAATATTTGAGGTACACTTTACATTCCACAGTTTTATAAACAAGAAACTAAACCTTAAGGAAGTCATATAACTAAAGATTACAGTTCAAGGATTATTAATATAAAATTTATTTGCATTATTCTTAATTCTCATTCTTGATGAGTTAATCTTTACTTACTTTGTTGTCCTTTGCCTTTTTTCTGAGATTTCTTGCTAGCAATGAAGAAAATCCAACCCTAGTATACAATAAGAATTAAATTTTAAATCAGACCATGCCTCTCTTCAACTCTAAAAAAGTTCCATATCTTTAGACAAAAATCTAAACTCATTTACCTTTAAAAAGATGTTTGTCATGATTGGCTCCAGCTTTCTATTTAGCTTTATCTCTAATCACTTCACAATTGTTACTTTGCATTTGAGAGATGCTAAAATGTTACTGAAATCCCAAAGCATACTTTTTTACATGAGATTCCCTCTGCCTGGAATGCCTTCTCCAAATGTGTCTGCTTATTCAATAATTCAGGCACACCCTGACTTTAAAACTCCTATATCCTACATGATAGCTGTCTTAACATTACTAGGCAACCCAAAGAAGCCATGCTTTTTTGCAGCCCAAAGCATGACTTCTGCACTCATGCTATTCTGTCAACACCTTCATAAAAGCAATCATATTAGCAATTGACAACAATCTTAATTCATAAAAATAGCTAGATTTAGTTGAGTCCTGACATGGAACTTTTCTTAAATTGCTTCAGTTAATCTTCACAGCAGTCTAGCACTGAAGGCATTACTTTCACAATATCAGCCAGTCAGTAAGTGGCAAACTGGGAATAAAAAACCAGGTTTTTTTTTATGATATTCAAAAACTTTGGTGCTCATTTCTCACTATGAAGAAGACATTTTAATACATGAAAAGAGTATTATTCTGAATATCCTAATGATTCAGCAACTATATAGCATAAATATACACATATGTATATATGTGCATGTTTCCCAGTGGTAAAGAATCTGCCTGTCAATGCAAGAGACAGAGGAGACTCAGATTCAACCCCTGGGTAAGGAAAATCCCCTGAAAGGAAATGGCAACCCACTCCAGTACTCTTGCCTGGAAAAATCCCATGGTCAGAGGAGTCTAGGGAACTACATGGGGTCACAAGGAGCTGGATACGACTGAGCAGCTGAACATGCACATACATGTATTCATACATACATATGTTATTTTAAAGGTAGACAAATGCTACAGCTTGTGGATGAAGTAATATTTTAAAGTGTGAATGTTTTAATCATTAAGACAGAAAAAAATATTTAAATAAAAAATGATAGGGGGCTTTTGGTTGCAACTTCAACATGTAAAGGCCTTAGAAGTCTTTACTCTCATCTTTACAATAAGAAAAAAAAAACCAAAAAACTAAAGCTGTTAAGTTTTTGTGGACCTAGCAGAGAATTTAGCTTGC